CCCCCTAGAGGCCTGGTGTTGCTGCCTTGAGCCATTGGCCTCCTGGGTTTTTTTCCTTTTCTTTCTGTAAACGTTCTGTTATAAATTTTAATTGTATATCTATTTATTGTTTTAATATGTTGTGAGCCGCCCAGAGTCCTCCATTGGGGGGAGATGAGCAGGGACAAGTTTAATAAATAAATAAAATAAATAAAAAATATGAGGAGCTGGATAGAATGGTTCTGCTATTCTTCATGTTTCCATTTGTAACAGCATGTTTACAACAAAACAAGCTGTCCACTTTTGCTGATTTAATTAGAATCTTGTGACTTGAAGAATAAAAGATCTTGGATTCTGTTTGTTTTGGTAGTAACAAATAGGCTGTAATTTGTTACATGGTTCAGGTTAAAATGCTAACCTAAACTCAAAATCCATGGGTTTTGTTTTCTGTTTATAACCATACCCTGCCACATAGCTAAGTAACTGTATTTAGCTGAAACCCCAAGGCTGTCACAGAACATAATTGTCAGTCAGAGTTGAACCATTCAGCTTGCAGACTCATCTTTCTCTTTAGATATTAAGAAAACTATTCATTGCATTGTTTCATAGAAAAAGGAAAGAGTCTGTAAATGTGCATATAAATATCCTTACACCATATGGCTCCTACCCCAACATTTTCAGATAGGTATATATATTAAAAACCCTAGTTTAGCAGACCTCAGGTTAGTAGGCTATACAGGTAGTCCAATGGTAATTGGGACTGAGAACTCTGTCGCTAAGTGTTGTGGTTGTAAGTATATTTACCCAGGTATATATTTCACAGCATTATTACTTCAGTAAGCTCAGTTCTGATGTATGTATATTAAAAATTTGTATCTGTATTAAACTCTTTCTAGGTTGGTAACCTACTTTTATAAGAAATTCAAGGAAGTTTATGAAATTGGCATTGACTGTACATGAATATTAATGGAAGAGTTAGAAGCTGGAAAAATAGCTCCCATAGTATGGAAGTGACCTGCTATTTTCACATTTGAGGCTGAATGATGACTTTAGATCTTTCATTGCTCATTGCAGAGGCCAACAGGTAGTCCTTGACCTACAACCATTTGGTCAGTGAGCATTTCAAGTTACAGTGGCGCTGAATGAATAGTGGTTACAACTGGTCCTCAGAATTCTGTCTGTCCCAGCACCCCCACTGTCATGTGATCACAATTTGGATGTTTGGCATCCTGTTTGCACTTATGACAGGCTGCCAAGTGCCCCACGATAATGTGATCACCATTTGCAAACTTCTGTGCTGGCTTTCCCAGAAAGTCAATGGGGAAGCTGGTAGGGAAGGTTGCAAGTTGCTGGTGTAAGTCTCCTCCACCTGCGCGCCCTCCCTCAGCCCCTCTGTGCTCGTGCTGCACCAACCACTTGCACACCCCAGTGCACTTGACCAGCGTGGCGCCTCTTGCGCACTCCTTACGCCCTTGTGCACACTCCCTGAACCATGCAGCACCACCCACGTGCACACTCCCTGACCCACATGGCACCTCTTGTGATTCTCCCCTGCATGCTCCTTCGCTCCCTCCCTGACTCTCCCCTGCTTGCCCCCTTGCTCCCTCCCCCACCCAAACAGCCACTTACCTGCCTGCAGGCCTAGGACTTGCAACTTCCTGCCAGCTTCCCCACTGACTTTGGTTGTGGGAAGCCAGCAGGAAGTTGCCTTGCCTAACCATGTAGATTCAGTTAATGATAGCAACTGGGAGAGCAGGGATTACCGTATCTAAGTGGTGCGGTCGTGCTTTATGGCCACATTGCTTAGCAACGGAAATTCCGGTCCCAATTGCCATCGCTAAATCGAAGACTACCTGTATGTTGTACATCTGGATTCTATCACAACAAGAAGGAAGTGTGAATTTTTTGTGCATGGAAGAATGGCTAAAAGAATCATTACACAACATTGGAAGGACAAATCTACAACTGGCTTGTAGCAATGGATTGCTGATATGTGTGGATTGTCAATATCTGAACTGGTTTCTTTTTTCCCCAATTAAGGAGCAAGGAAGTCGACTTTCAAGTAATCTACTCAAATTTGGAGTTGTTTCATCCAGATAAATTTCCATACCTGTAATGGAAGGCGTAGGCGAGGAGGAGACTGGTATGAGAGATCAAGGCTATCAGGAGGGAGGGGGTGCATTCCAAAGGAAGGAGCAAGGCAAGCACTTTCTCAGTCCGCAGCAGGACCGTGAGAAGAAGAGGCTGAGGCTAACTAGCTCCTCCCTAGACTCTCACAGGATATATCCGCTAGTAGCTTTAGGATAGGTTTAGTTTGGTGAGATTCTGTCTATAGTGTGTAAGCAATAAAGGAACTACACTGTACTGTTTTGTTGTTCTTGGGCTGAACCTGACAATACCTTTTTTAGTAAATGTCAATATTATACTGTATTGCTAATGTTCATTATACATAAATGATGTATTGTTTAATTTGTTAATTAACTTTTTAAAAAATGGTACTCATCCAGAAACTTCGTCATGGAGTCATGGGTTTGAATAAGTGAGTAGGTGCTTAATCATTATATCAAGTGTGGGGCATGGTCTGTAGATGCTCGGGTATGAACTTACCCTGTTATCTGGGAAAAGTTTGATCCTGTTGAACCCGAAGAAATGGATAGGGTCCTCTGGATGGTCAGTGCTACCACTTGTCGACTAGATCCATGCCCCTCCTGGCTGGTTAAGGCTACTGAGGAGGTGACGTGGGTGGGTCCAGGCGATGGTGAATTCATCCATGAGGGAGGGAGTGTCCCCAGCTGCCTTTAAAAAGGCGCTGGTGTATTCCCTCCTCAAGAACCATCACTGGATCCCACCGTATTGGCCCATTTTCGTCCAGTCTCCCACCTCCCCTTTTTAGGGAAGTGGTTGAGAAGGTGGTGGCGCTGCAGCTCCAGAGGATCTTGGAGGAAATGGATTATCTGGACCCTTTTCAATCAGGTTTCAGGCCTGGATATGGGACAGAAACAGCATCGGTTGCACTCATGGATGATCTCTAGTGGGAGCGGGATGGGGGTAGTGCATCCATCCTTGCTCTTCTTGACCTCTCAGTGGCTTTCAATACCATCGACCATGGTATCCTTTTGGGTTGACTTGAGTTGGGAGTGGGTGGCACAGTTTTGCGCTGGTTTTCTTCCTTCCTACAGGGTTGATCCCATTGTGGGGTGCTGCTGGGTTCAGTACTCTCTCTGCTCCTTTTTGACATCTACATGAAATCACTGAGTACCATCTGCCACCATGGGATGAGATGATCAATATGCAGATGATACCCAGTTATACATCTGCATTGTGACTACCCTTTCACAGTGCCTGGAGGCTGTGGAGGTCTGGATGGGGTGCAACAGGCTTCAGCTGAACTCTGGTAAGATGGAGTGGCTCTGGGTTGGGGGCTCTTCTGTATCCAGAAGTTTACCATCTTTGGTTCTGGATGGGGTTGCACTACCCCAGACAGACCCGGTGCATAATCTGGGGGTCCTCCTGGACTCCGACTCCTGCTTGAGGAGCAGGTGGCAGTCATGGCCAGGAGGCCCTTTGCCCAACTTCATGTGGTGCTCCAGTTATGCCTTTTCCTGGATCAGGAGGCCCTCTGTTCAGTCACTCGTGCCCTGATCATCTCTCGTTTAGATTGTTGCAATGCACTATACATGGGGCTACCCTTGAAGAATATCTGGAAGCTGCAGCTGGTTCAAAATGTGGCCGTGTAGACAATCTTGGGTGCCCCAAGGATGGCACATATAACACCTTTGCTGTGGGAGTTACCTTGGGTTCCAGTTTGCTTCTGGGTCCAATTCAAGTTGTTGGTTATTACCTTTAAAGACCTACATGGCATGGGTCCAGGTTACCTGAGGGACTGTCTCACCCCCATCACATCAACCTGTCTCACCTGGTGAGGTAGAGAAGGCATGTAACAGACCCCATCAGTGAGATAATGTCGGCTGGTGGGGCCCAGGAGGAGAGCCTTGTCTGCTGTTGCCCCCGCCCTCTGCAGTATTCTCCCCCTAGAGGTGCAGCAGGCCTGTACCCTTCCAGCTGTCCGAAAAGAACTAAAGACTTGGTTCTACCAGCTTGTGTGGGCAAGAAGAGTTTTAATCAAACCTGGGGGTGGCTGGTGCCCTGATGACGCTCCCCGAGCCTAATAATTTCTAGCTTCCATCAATTCTTGGAAGATATTTATTATTTATTTAGGACTATTGTTATATTGTATTTTTAACTCATATTTATCTTTTCTGTAAACCGCCCAGAGTAGCTTTTTAACGAGATGGGTGGTGACAAATTTGATATATAAATATATAAATGTATAAGTGTGTGTGTGTGTGTGTGTATCGTTATAACCTTCTGATTTGGAGGATTAACTTCAAAAGAACCGTCTGACCAGCTGGGTGTTTGGAAGAGGCATGAAATGTGTTCCAAAGTTTTGTAGAATGTTTGATTCCCAGAATGGTAGGTTTTGCATAAATTGACTGACTGCAAAGTTAACAATTGGGGTATTCAGCCAGAAAATGACCATATTTCCACATTTCAAAAAAATTGCTTGGCTGACTATGTTTATCTTCAGTCTGCAAAAAAACTGTCTGTCTTATTCAGAAGCAGTATTGATAAGGCTTAAGTACTTGGGAAAGGGGAACAGGAAATGAAATCTCAGGGGTTATACAGGTAGTCCTCACTTAACAACCATTCAAAGTTACAGCAGCGCTGAACAAATGGTACTTACAACTGGTCTTTGAAGTTAACAGCTGTTGCAGTGCCCCCGCAGTCACATGATCAGAATTCAGGCGCTTGGGAGCCTGCCTGCATTTACGACTACAGCATGTGCTTCAGCATCCCCACCCACCTGTCTCCCCCACATCTCTTCCCTTTTGGCCACCCTGCACTCTGCCACCACTGCCTACCCCTGCTGACCCCAGCTGACCTTCCCCTTGTCAGCAGCAGGAGGAAGAAGACGGCGAAGGTCAGTGGGGGTAGGCAATAGTGGCGGAGTAGATAGGGCAGATAGGCAGGGTGAGGGGAATTGAAGCAGAGATGAGCACAGCAGGGCAAGGAGAAGTGTGAGGTCCTTGCCTGACAACGGCACAATCCTTGCCTGACAACCACAGCCAGGACTACCGGAACTGCTTTTGCTAAGTGGTGCAGTTATCTGATATTTTGCCTAATGACCGCTTTGCTAAGCGACGATTCCAGTAGTTTCGGGTTGTTAAGCAAGGATTACCTATATAAGGCTGTATAATTCATATGGTCTTCTCTTTTTTTTTTTTTAAGGAAAAGTAGTGTCTAAGGTACCTTTTCAGCAATGTTACAGGATTGTTACTGAATTGAAGTTATGGATTGTCTTGAAAGATTTTTCTTAATATTACTTTTTAATGCTATTTTACTAATAACGAAACTTTCCACTTTGTGTCTGCAACCAAAAGAGTGACCGCTAATCTAGTAGTTGTGTTGTGCTGCTTTCACATATTATGTTGAGTTTCCCTGCATACATCTGCATCTGGATTTCAGTCTCTGAATTATCTGGTTTATCTTTTTTATGATTACTTATGACAAGGTATAGATTTTGGTCAAAATGATTGTTATTTTAGTTTAGGTTTAGGGTGGCAATTGGGGTAGTCAGTTAATCTTGAGGTAGCCATGTGAACTGTTTTTTATTTTTCTAAACCTGTGTTTTTAAAACTGTTCTGGGCATATATTTAAACAAGTCGCTCAAAGCCACCCTTTTGCAACCAGTTGCTGGCTTTACATATTAACTGACAAATTTATTTTCTTTTTAACCCTTTCTATTGATGGATGGCTTTGTGCTGTGGAAGGGAGCATACACATACAGAAGCAAGATTTGCTGTCTGATCAAGGAAATGCAACAACGGGTACATGTGTAATTGGAATTGGTGTTGGGTTTTTCCCCTTCTCCCTTCATGCTGACATGTCATTTTTCTTTTTTTTAAGTTGGGTTTGAAGACTATGGACCAGATTGTGAGAGCATGAGGATAACTGCATTCCTGGACATTCCAGGGCAGGATAACTTGACTCCACTTGGACGTTTAGAAAAATATGCTTTTAGTGATAATATATTTAACAGGTAACATAGAAAATAATTATTCTATTACTATTTTGTTGTAATCTTTCCTTTTGTTTTCATGGAACTGGGATAGGCAATTAATGCTCTTTGGTTATTTGAATAACTCTTTGTTTAGACCTTTTGACTATGCTACCTGGAGCTGTTGAAAGTTGGTCCAAATATTTGAAGGATACAGGGTATTTTTCTCTCTCACGGGCAAACTAAGTTTTAGACTATATTATGCATTGTTTCAGATAAAGTATTAGAGATAGTTTTGATATTGCAGAATCCATGGGTTCAGAGGTTTTTGGCTGTGTGGAAGGATAAGGAACATAGAAATAGAGAAGGGAATTGTATACAGGTAGTCCTCGCTTAGCGACCACAATTGGGACAGGCAGCTCCATCACTAATCCCCACCGTTGCTAAGCAGAAAATCACATAACCGCGACAGGTTTACGGCCTCACTTCCCCTTCATTCATTAAGTAAATCATCGTGGTCATTAAGTGAAACATCATGTGTCTGTGACTTAATGATTTTACTTCTACCTTCTCTATTAACTCTGCTTGTCACAAGCCAGTTGCGAAGCATGCAAATGGCAATCACTTGACCGCAGGACACTGTGACGGTTGTAAATCCGAGGATTGGTCACAAAGCTTTTTTTTTTTTTTACACCATCGTAACTTCAAACAGTTGCTAAGCGAGGCAGTTGGTAAGCGAGGACTACCTGTCATGGTACATTCTCTTTTTTCCAGTAATAAGCAGGACCAGAACAAAATGGGAAAGATTGCTTTGACTTTATAGCAGTATTGCTATGAGGATAATTAATAACATCATTTAAAAATTCTGCTTGTAACATAGTCATTGAATTGCTTCCATTTTTAATCTTTTTTGTCTAGATCTTATACTGTTATATTCATGAACCTATATTATGTTACATTGTATTACAAAGTACACATGCGGTGGACAATATATTGATGCTTGAGATCCAAAGGTAGCAGTGAGTCAAGACTTACATATATGTGTTCAAGTGTTTTTCCCTGATTCTTTGTCCCTTCCCACATACATGCATACTCAGTGATTTATATGTACATATCACTGTGTTGAAATGAGGAAATTTTACCTTCCCCTGCATGCTGAAAGCAGAGAGAAAAATACTCCTTGAAAGCTGTAATTCACCAATGACTTAACTTTTAGATACTGCCCCTACCTGTTTATCAGTTTAGAATTGCTTTGGGGATCGAAGCCCCCTTTTAAAAAATCCTAATCAGTATAACTTTGTATTTTATTCTCTGCCAGCTATTATCTGAGTAATTTGAAAAAGTGGATGGGGCCTAAAGGACAGCAGACAAATGTTGCCCACCTGTGTTGAACATAATATGTAATCTGACAATAAAACACACCTGCAGTTGAATCAGACCATACTGTTGTTATTTTGCTCACAATGCTGTAGTTATGAATTAATATTTCAGAACAATAAATATATATATATATATGTGTGTGTATTTGTTGCTCATGCAGGCAAATAATTGCCAGGGGTCTACTTGATATCTTTCGAGATTTCAATCATAATGAAGAAGACTTCTTGACAGTTATGGCAATAGTGGTACGGCTATCTGAAGATACAGGTGATACCTCCAGTCTTTATACTTTCATTCATTAAAAATGTATTCTCTGTAATAGTGTATTTGAGTATAAGCTTGTACATAGTAAATCTAGTTTATGACTGTCTATAATGACTGGCAAGGTTCCATAGATTTTGAGACAGCAGTCTTTTTCAGTCTTGCCTATATGATAGTTGGCACTGAATGCAGAAATTTATGAATTCAGTATTTTGCCTGATTTGCAGTGACTTTGATTATCAACATCTCTAAAAGATCTTGCAAATAAATTCCCAATTATAATTTGTATCATTGATTTCCAATCTGTAGGCTGTAAAGGTATTATGCCAAAATAAAATTTAAAATGTATCCCCAAACTCCTGAGATTTCTGGGTGTAAGATTTTGGCATTTCTCCTTGAAGTCTCAAGAGATTTTGTTGTTGTTCTTGCTTCTTATCTCCAAAGATTTTAGACAAGAGAAAGAATTTTGGGCCTTCTCGACACACTAAAAATAAACACATTAAAAGCTATGCAGGTATGCCTTGGTTTTTGTTATATATGCTCTCATACCAGATAGTTTTGTGATTTTTATTGGTCTAGTGACCTCAAGACCACCTCCCTTTAAGGTGGCTGATACAATTTTAGATGTTATATTAGTTATTAATCACTAACTACTGTTCCGGAGGGGGACGCAGTGGCACAGCGGCTTAATGACACTGAAAGTTGCCGGCCAGAAATGGTCGACGCTTCAGCGGTTCGAGTCCAGCCTTCACGTTAGCAGGGTGAGCTCCTGTTTCCTCC